ATTTGCATGAACATGAAATAAGCGTTAAAACAGATGCGGGGGCTGGCTCTTTGTTTGTCATTGTGGGGTTAATATACCGCCAACATTTTTCCACCCCAGTCGGTAGGTTCGAGCATCAAAAACCCTTTTTATAGGGGTAGAAGAGTATTCTCTCAAAAACGTATATTAAAGTTCTAAAAGTATAATTTAGTGGATTATGTAGAACTAAAGAATTATATTAGACAACTATACTATTTAAAAAATGTTTACATAATCCACCGTTTACAGCCAAACAATACCAAAAATTATTATCTAAAGTTGCAATCTAGCTGTAGGTAGTATTTTCCTTAATTATACCGGGTGAATCTTAAATAAATGCAAATATTTTCAGGGCTTGGTAGATCTCGATAAAAAAACATAATTTCTCTTTACCATTTTCAAATAAGTCAAAATAACCGGGATATTTTGGTTTTCAAGAAATTTTGGTTCAAAAAATTGGTTTTAACTTAAATTTTGAAAACCACTGGATATTTTCGGGGTTTTCTTTCCTGTAAATTCAATCTACTACCTAATAACATTTTATAGGTAACTAAAAATTAAAACAAATCCAAAAAAAAAATATTTTTCGCAAAAAAAAACTCTTATACGTGTTTCTGGGGTCGAAACCCCTAAAAATATTTGTACTTATTTAAGACTCACCCTGTCTACGTATATAACTTTAAAAAATAAGGAGTTGTTACGCTTGGAATCATCGATTAGATATTGGTGTGGGTTAAAAACGTAAACAGTTCTGCTATGGTTAAAACCAATAAGATTATATGCTCATCTTTGTTGAGCCTGTTATTCATTTTAATATCTATGGTAAGACGCCTGTCGGTGGAAAGAAGAAAATAAAACAAGAACCGTTTAAGATGAGCGACTATCTTGGTGTTACCTCATAGACGCGAGTTTATGTAAATATGGTCATGTTACATTACGATCTTTCGCAGATGAATGGAACAGCGCGTATAATCGATTATAGTTAGAATAGAGAACAGAATTAATTACCAGTTTAGAACAACATTTTTTTTTAATAATAGTCATATTGAGAAAATAATAGTAATAATTACTTGTAAAAGCTTTAAGCATAATAAAGTTCTTGTGTAGGTACATTTTTCCTATACAAAGTCCTATGTTTAGATTTACTTATAAATCAAAATAGTAGATTTCTTCTTTATCAGCCTCGTTTCATCCATCCAATGTTGGACATTGGACTTAAATTCACGCGGCAACCCACCTTGAACCTCTCGCAAATCGGCCGCTATCCACTTCTCAACATCCCTCATCTCTCGGTGCTCTTGTTCTGTCCATCCCTGCGCGTTCCATGAAAGTTCCATGACAAGGGGCCGGATTTGGCCCCAAATGACTCGGGTTTGTACGCCTTCGCCCCTACAAAGCGGCGGTTTGCGGATTTTTTGCGTTCGAGAGCCACCACGTGCTTACCGAAGCGAACTGACCTGGATCGTGGGGCTACGCGGGGCTCATTAGAGAGAGTCCTTGGGCGGAATCTCTAAAAAAAGGCAGGTTACGTTACTGCGTTTTTATGTGGCTGCGAAAATGTTAGGGAGTTGTGACTGTGTTTAAGTGCTGTAGAGTAATTGGAAGGGAAATTGAAACAGCTGCTTATTGATTTTGTTGAGCGATTAACAATGAATGAAATGGTTGGTTATTTCGATTTTGATAGTTTTCTTGTTCATAAATTTACAAAATTCAAATATTTATCGGATGTTACCACTAGCGTCAAAACAAACCAAAAATTAAATATGATTGACAGGTTTTTGTTAAAAAAAACGTATTCGGCACAGGTTCGATTATGTTTCCATTAAAATGGAGGAATATTAATAAAAGCTGAATTTAAGAAGCACGACAAGGCGTTACTTTCACCTAAAAATGGATCCATTCCAAAAGAAATTAAGTTAATCTAAGTTTTTTCTTGCTATGCAATCTCTAGCCAATCTCATCCAATGTCTTTCTGCTACTGTTCTCGATCTATTTCTCTTTTGGTCAACCAACACTACTTGTCGTTTACCTTGGTGTCCATAGTGTGAATTTTTGGTACTTCTACAGGTTTGCCACTCTTCCCATTACATCTATTAAGCTGTTTTTTCTCCCACGTATATTTTGCCTCTTAGGGTGACTCTTAACTTGATTCTCTCCATAACTCTTTACAACTCGGAGTTGTTCTGCTATTTTTCCTGTAATTATCATAGTTTCTAAGCCATACCCTTAAGCACAGGAGGGCGCAGC